GGGGGGCAGCCATGAGTTATTAGCAGAGATATTGAAACGCTGTTTTGGTGCGGAGAATTCTTCCCCGAACACTTAAGACGCCCCCCCCCCTCCCTTCCTCCCTACCCACCACCTTCCGGTGCCTTCCACCGTGCCTTGTCTCCTACTCCTCCCCAGACCCTTTTGCTGCTTCATTATGTTTTTGTTTGCTCTTGATCTTCGAAATTAGAAACAATGAGCCCTCCTCTGCACGCGAGTAATGTCGCGATATTAAAATGGGAGTCGTATTGGGGTGGGGAGGTTGAGGAGGGTGAGGGAGAGTCTATCCGCCCACCACCCCAGCTTTTGCCTCTAAAGGGCATTCCGAACGGAAAAGAGAGACCGAGGGCAAAAAATAGAGGGTAAAAACACAGCCAGTTGGAATGCAGCGCAAGGCCTCTCTTGGCGGCCCGGAGGGATTCCCTTTAATGACCAGCAAATGCATAACATTTTCAGAGTGTATACTCCCACCCGAACTGACTGATGACAAAAACCCACATAGAAAATTCGCTTAGCTTCGAAGGTTTTTTTAGTGAGGAAAATGGTGTGCTCGTGTTGCAGGGACTTAGTTACCCTTTAAACCCTGAGGAACGCTTTTTTAAAATCCAAGGGGGCATAAATAACCGTTCTGTTTAGTTAGTGTACACCCCCTCCCCCAATTCCGCTCAATTCAAACCAATTCAATTTAATTCAACATAGTAAAGAAATAATTCAAGCCAACCTAGAACAATTCAGTAAACTCGGTCCGAACTAAGCCAAATTACATTCAATTCAAGCATGCGCGTATTAAGGGGGGGGGGGGGGGGGGGGGGGGGGGCCCCCCCCCCCCCCCCCCTGTGGGCCACTAGATAGCCGCCTAAAGGTAGGCAATTTGACCTACAAAACCCCTGTATGTAGGCAACTTTCGATGCACCGCCCCCCTGTCCGCCTCAACCTTAATACGCCCCTGAATTCAAGTCAATTCAAGTCGCTTCAAGTCGAATCACTTAAAATCAGTAAAATAAATAAGTTATTGCAGTAACTCCAAGCAATGCAAAAACAATTCAACAAATTCAGGTCAATCCAAGCTAATTCAGATTCAGTTCACGAAATTTGTGCAACTTATTAAGGTGTTATTTACCAGAGCATTGCAAAAAGGCCTTCTCTGACCAACCGTCTCTGACCAAAGCGGCCAGAGACGGTCGGTCAGAGAAGGCCTTTTTGCAATGCTCTGTTATTTACCCGTCGAGCACAATAATTAAGAAACTAGAGGAGCAGCACGTTCTCTCCTTCTGGTCTTGAGGACTGTCCAAAATACAACGTTGTCCAGAGGAGGGGCATATGACAGAGCTACTGGACTTCTGACTTCCGGTTCCAATCTATTGGTCTC